ATGCTTATTCTGTCATATATGAGTTCATCAGAAGAGAGGTTTAGTCACAAACTTTTGTGAAACAGCCTTAATTTCAGACAGCATAGGCACGCTATTTATATATACGTATGTCATTCATGTCACACTTTCAGTTTTTTTTTTTTTATATTTTGGTTTGGTTTGATTTGTTTTACGGCATATCAACCTTAAAAGGTTATTTAATGCCAACAAAATTTTTGTTGCTGGCAATAATTTTTTCCTTCACAAATCTATTTTTGGTAATATTTTTTCTTCAAAAATGTGTTGCTGGCAATAATTTTTTAAAAAGGTATTTCTGGTATTAAAATCTATTTTTACACTTTCATAATATTTTGACCCAGTTTGGGGTTAAGTATTTTCTCATAGCTGGGACCCTAACAGGTGCTACCACCCCGGGTCAGGGTGGACCTGGGAACACCAGCAATTAAGAGGTGGTTCCATGCTACTCAAAACCTCCTGATCAGAGGCTTTGCTGTTGGACATAGTTCATTGTCTCACCCAGGACATGGATGCAGTTTATCGTCATACCCAGGACGGACACTTTCAGTTATTAGATAATATAAAATTAATAAAATTAATGATATTCATAATTGTAGAATTTCTTTTAACCAAAAATATTTATTATTGTTAATTTTAAATTTAACTTTTCTGTCAGTCTTTTATAGGATTATGCACATCGTGTAGATACGAGCCATATTATATTTATATTTTTTAGACATTCCATGGTATCTATGATTCATTGATTAGTCTTGGCATTATTTAAATCACTTTTTACTCAATATCTTTTCATATTAAAAATTGTATGTGTTTAATATAACAATGACTCGAAATGGAAACACCTCCAGAAAAAAAACAAAAAAAAAACAACAAAAAACGAATAAGCAACAGAAAGACAAAGGCGGAAATTAAAAACTGTAGAGTTTATGCCACTAACGTTGTGAAATAACTTGTAAACGAGAAATGTCTGTAATTCCATGACAGGGACAAAACTAACATTGATTTACATTTCGTTTTAAATTAACGAGGTTTTTGGGAAAATGGAAACAAAAAGAGAACTTATACTTAACATCAGGTAAAGGAATTTGAGATTTCTGTGGCATTTAATGAGGAAGAAGGACTTGGAAAAACTGTTACTCACGGGGCAGATTGAAGGACAAAGGAAAGCAGCGCGTAACATATTTGATGAGCTTGAGAAAATGGATGGCAGAACAGGGTTTGGGAGAAATAACAAAAAAAGACAAAACTTATTAAGAGCTACAAGTGACAGGAAGATGTGGAGGGCCATCATCGCCTACGTCCCGAACGAACACGCCACCTAAAAGAAGAAGAAAATGAGAAAATAAAATCGTATATTAGAAGAGCATACAATCACAATCTGATTTTTATGGCGCACTATTGTTGTGGCCTTGTATTTTTAAAAATGCTATCATCCTAATGTTTCGAGCTATGACACCAAATTTGGCAAAGAAAGACAGGGCTTCAAGGGACCCATTTCTGACGCAGGTGAAGTACAATTCATGGGTGTGTATGTAGACAATAGTAAATGCACAATTTGCATAAAATAGCCAATACTGTGGTAGACCTTTGTAAATTTGAATTAGAAAAAACAATTTGATACTTTTTCACATTGAAAAGGAAAGGCAGTTTTCTTTGTGAAACTCATGTCCAAATATAGCGATATATTTGTAGGAAAGAGGTGACTAAAAATTAAACCGACAAAATTAAAATACGTAATTCATCCTGAGATCACACTATACTCTGTTCTCAGCCACTCCCTGGCTACTTTGTATTGCCATGGACGACAAATAATAACAATTATGATGGTCTTTTCTCTCTCCCGTCAAAACGAATCTCATGGAAATCACAGCAAAAAGAAATACAATTAAACCAGCAAACAAAAAACACTTACCCCTTCTTTCTCTAATATTCGTAGTATCCATTCCAACTTCTGCAGCGTAGAATATTTTCTCTTGGAACGGTCGCCAGATATCTTTGCCCTTTGTGAACCTAACTTGAAATCTTCCATTGCTACCAATGGATAGTTTGGATAGATTGATGTAACACAATCTTCTTCTAAACACTCTACAAAAACTAATTTGAATTCACTCTTTGATTTTAAATGCAATGTCGATCGTAATCTACTCTCCTCCTGATTTCTCTTTCCTCTTCCCGCTCATTATTAATATTACTGTTTCTAATTCTTTCACACCCTGTGACTCGCTTGTGTCTTAGTGGCTTTACTGCCTTGCAGAAAGTGATACCGACAAAAAAAGAAAAAAAAAAAAAGCAAAAAAAAAAAGCATTATCACAAATCATCTACAGTTTTATAAATTGAAAATCTGTTCTCTGATACAGGAAATATAATGAAAGTTCTCATCTGCGTAAGTGATTATTGATATAAGAACACATGGCCGCCGATCTGAAAAGAAATATGCACACATTTTGATTTAACCGGAAGTAGTACTTAACTTTTGTGCTTAGGGGATTTTTTTTAGCAATATTTGCTTAGTTTACTAATATTTCATAATTGTGGAAATCTAATTATTAAAACACAAAAACTTTTGAAAATTTTAGTTCCCATAACCCAAACTGCTTTCGTTCATTGCAACTTTTTACATCATAGAAACCAACTTACAACTATACTTTCTATTTAAGAATATTCTTTTATTATTTGATGTTCGAAAATTCTATCTGGAATTTAAAATACATAAAAGGTGGTTTGATTAATCACATGTTTCTATATGGCATATCAATGAAGAATCCGTTTCTGCAATTCTGAAAAGATGGCAAAGAATATTGAATCAAATAAAAACTGAGGGTTTATCTCTGAGAGAGTAAATATTTTCATATAAAGATGTTCAGTAGCACTGAGTTGTTTCATTATCGCGTATATATAATTATAGTCTTTCAAATATATTACATTTATGGGAAAAGAGTGCTCATTATCGGAGATAGACAGTTTGTAGATATAAAGAGTTGGACATAATCAAAACTGCATAGTGACTTTGAGTGACACATTTTAAGCGATTAACATCTGATATTCATTTAAGGCATGAAACTGATTGTTACCATGCACTGATGATTTCTATGTCCACACTGTATAACTCCATTTCTCTCTCTCTCTCTCTCTTTCTCTCTCTCCATATATATATATATATATATATATATATATGAAAACTTTTACATATCAAGAACAATTTTATGGAAATCGATGACAAAGAGGAAAAAGTTTTCGTGTGACTCATGTCGGGTAAACTCCTCTTAATTTTAGAAACCGTTACGAGGGGACTATAAATACTCTGTGATATTTTTTCTCAGTCTCTTTTTACCTTATCCGCTTATTCGTCAACATGTAAATCTTTGGGAAACGCATAAACAATAACAACAACAACAACAAAATACACGCACTCACACAAACAATATATATATTGGTCCTTGCTGTTTATTTTTATTTTTTTACGTGGACTCCCATCCAGAGTCCGTCAGTTAGGTGTGGCAATTTTAGGAGACAGCGTGTTATTCCCATTTTCAAACGCGGACGTTACTAACACCCAAAACATGTTCGGGAAGAGGACCGGCCCGCGACACACATTTCTTCCTCTAGGACTTCATTGAACTAAAGTGATGTTTATACCACAAAAAGCAGGAAACGTTGAGAATATTAAATTTAAATTAAATTTGTTTTCTTTTTAATGTTTTGGATGTATAGTCTAGCCGATTTCATTTTGTTTATTTTTTCATTGTGTATATTTTTATCACTTACATTATTACCCCCCATATATATATATATATATATATATATATATATATATGAAGTGCATAGGATGCATAATTTGAGTAATATTACTCAATTTATAGAGTAAATGATAGAGACACTTATGAACAGATCTCTCCTATACAAGTTTCTAAGAATCTAAAAGAATTTAATAGGTCCTAGAAGAAACTCATATGTAATGAAGATAAGATTTGGCTTTCCCCTATTAACTACCACCCCACCGTCCCTAAAATTTATGGTCTCCCCAAAACCCATAAGCCTAACATTCCATTAAGGCCCATCATCTCGGGTATAGGCTCAGCTCCTCATAATATCGCTAGGTTTTTAACTAAATTTCTCACTCCAATTCTGGGCACCATAAGTAACGCACATGTAAAGAATTCAGGCTCTCTTCTAAATAAATTGAGTAATATTGATGTAAGAAACAAATCCCTAGCTAGCTTAGACATTAAATCTTTATTTACCAATATACCTGTTGATAAATGTATTAAACGATTAGAGAACCACCTTAAGAAAATTGACTTTAAGTTACCTATCACTATCTCGAAATGCATCAAATTATGCATCCTATGCACTTCACATTGTTTCTTCCAGTATAATAATATTTATTATAAACAAAAATTTGGTTTACCAATGGGAAGTCCTCTCTCTGGATTCCTAGCATGCATATTTCTAGAATTTCTTGAATCTGGACCTTTTAAATATATATATATATATATATATATATATATATATATATATATATATATATATATATATATATATATATACGATTGCATATAGCATGAAACAGACTGTCGCCTCCAAGTGTTGACTTCTATGTTCACTTTTATATTTACACACTCTATCTCTGATATTGAGCACTTTATCCCATAAATATAGCACACCTTAAGACTAGATTTCTTCATATATATATATATATATATATATATATATATATATATATATATATATATATATATATAGTCGCATATTATTAAAAAAGCCATAAAATATTTTTAGATTGTAAAAATTATTTTAGAGATAATAATGATTTTTAATGGTCCTATTAATTAACCCATAGCTAGGGGAGAAAATGTCTATTCTTACTTTTCCCTAGGGTATTTGCGCATAACTGAATATAACGACCCCGTCTTGAATGGAAACTCTGCTTTATGATTTTCTCCTTCTGAACCGTTAACCATTACACCAGCCGCACATCCATGTTTACAGCGTCTGATATTCTCAAGCGTTCACCCATCTAGGTAGGTACTAACCAGGTTCGACGTTGCTTAACTTCAGCTATCTTACGAGAACTGGTGTTTCAACGTGATATGGTCGTCAGCCACCCGGTACTAGAAGTGTATAGCTAATATAAATACCAGTGAGTTCTTGCTTTTATCTTCACCTCATCTCTAGTTGAGTAATCTGCTTTCGGTGTTTTGTTTCACACCCTAGGGTTTATGCAATCTCCCATTTGCTCTTAGGTGATGCACTGTTGTGGTCACTTGTTTGGTCACAAATCAGATGGCGTTTGATGTCATCTGATTTGTCTTTGTCGTGGGAGAAAAACGTTTGCAGAAAAGTTTATACCAATCGCCTCCACTGACATAGAATTATTTATTTCCTTTGCTTCTTAGACTTTCTTGAACTCCAGGAGCTGTTCATATTTCATATGAGCCTGGTCTTTCTTTCTTTTCTTTAGTTTTGACTTCTTAGCATAATTAACTGGGCTCTTTCCAGAAAAATTGTTTATGATTTTCAAGGGACAGCGATTTTGCTGTTTGAATCTTTCTCTTGCTTCCTCCCCATAACCAACGAGATAGCCGTCGACACATTTCACAATTACATCCGCGTCCTGGGTAAGACGATAAACTTTGTTCAACAGCAAGGCCTCTGCTCAGGTTTTGAGGAGATGGGAACCACCTTTTAATTGCTGGTATTCCCAGGTCCACCCTGACACGGAGTAGTAGTACTTGTTAGGGTCCCAGCTATGTGCAAATAGTTAACACACAATTTGGGTCAAAACACTATGAAAGTGTAAAAATAGGTTTTAATACCAGAAATATTACCAGCAATACATTTTTGAAAAAAGGATATTGCCAGCAATAAATTTTTTGAAAAAAAAATTACCAGCAATAAAAATGTTGTCGGCTTTAAATAACCCATTGAGATTGATATGCCGTAAAATAAACTAAGCACATTCATATTTACAGCAGGCGAAGAAGTCATGGAAAAGGAAAGCTCAAATGAGCCCCTATCGTAGATTTTATACTAAGAATTTTATGCGTTGGCCGTCCCTCTAGAGGCATGGCATGTAAAAAAATCAACAGGACATCAATGTGATCCTTCACGGGCAAATCTCCAAAGGCCTTTTTCTGTTGCAAAAAATGTTGTTGCGGCCAGTCGCCTCATATTTCTAAGAAGACGATTTTCAGCTGGTTACTTTTACTCTTCTACAATTTTTAAACCTGTACAAGGTGCAAAAGCCACTCGAGGTAGAGGTTTAAGATAATGGTTAACTCTAGACTTTAACAGGTTGACAGTGTAGCAATCAGAGAAGTATCCTATTGAGTTTCGGTTCCACAAAGTAGCGGTTCGTGGGAAGACGCTGCTCGAGTGGAACAAAATGGAATACAAAGGGAACGAGGGTGGTTCGCTATAATGGGCGTGGCATGGTGGGTCTTAGCTGTGAAAGTTAGAACTGGTGGAATTAAGAAATATTGTTCGTTTTGTAGGGTGAAAAATAATACATCACCCACAAGGGCGCGTAGATGTTTTTGAACTCTATCGAGACTGGAAAGCAAACACTCCAAGTAGTTGGAAACGGACATTAAGTTTTGTTGGTTCTACACAATGTCAAGCATTCTTCACGCATATAATGTGAGAAAGCACCTATAATTTCTCTAAATTGGCAAAAATAAGCGAAAATATAGTTGGGGATCTTAGAAATTACTATCCTGGTACTCTTGAAGTGACATGTCCCGCATTGAAGGATGTCCCTGCACGCACCTCCGGTGGGCAACCCTGAGGCCACATTATGTTGTAGTTTGCGCCAGTTCCTTTCTGCCCATGTCACATACGATGACCGTCTGCTATTATTACTTTAGGTCTTTTCCTTACCAACATAAGCAATAACCATAAACAATGAAATATTTAAAGGTAAACCAGTTAAAATAATCACCTAAACCTTTTAACATTTCCTTCGCCAACATCCGTAGCCTTCGAACCAAATTCCGCAGTGTGGAATCGTTCTTCGAAAAGTCTCCTGATATACTAGCTCTCTGTGAGTCTAACCTTAAATCATCAATCCTCTCCTCTGATTTCTCGATTCTCGGCTACCTTCCTCTCCTTAAAAAGGACTCTAAAATCCACATACATGGTCTGGGAGTTTATGTCCGCCATCATCTCCCGCTGGCTAGTGAACTGTCTTTGGAATCTCCAGACTTCGAATATGTGTCTCCAGCTATCTCTCCTCAATACCGTAAGCTATCTTTTCTTCTCTATCGTTCCTCTTCTTCTCAAGACTTGTGGACTCGATAGCATTTCTGCTAATATAGGCAAGGTCATCTCTCTACATCCGTTTGCGCACATATTCTTGTTTCGTGTCTTTAACGCCCATCATACCATGTGGCTTAAACACTTTGTAACTAACCTCACTGGCGTCGAATTTCCAATCAATCAATGCCTCACGCAAGTGGTTGACTTTCCTACGCGTTTTCCCAGTAACCCTGACGGTAAAGCTTCCCTTCTCGATCTCTGTTTTACCTCCGTCCCTGACTCTTGTCGCGCTACGCAGTTCTGACCACTTGGCAACTCTGATCACATTAACATCTCCTTCCACCCACTTCCAGCCCAAAACCTCCTACTAACGGAATATCTTTCTGTTATCAACGTGTAGACTGAGACTAGTTTCGTGATTTCCTTCGCGACGTCCAAAATCTTGAACATATATTTATTGTGGTTTTTAATCACCCCGTTCATAAATGTGCGTCTGAGGTTTCCTCCTGAGTAAGACGAGGCTTTCATCCCAGAAAGAAAATATGAAGTTAAATCATGCTCATCTCCTTGGTTCTCAGCTCTTATAGGCCATAGGAATCACTTCTTCCGTCTGTACCGAAGCGACATGTTTAACAGACGTCTCTTTGTCGTCTGCTAGTAATGAGTGCAAGCGTGTTCTCAATGAAGCAATGTTACTATTTGCTGCTGGAATGAAACAATGTATTGCATCTCGCAAGTTTGGTTCTAAAAATTATTGGCGGCTCTGCGAGAGTGTGCTGAACAACAGGAAATCCACAATCCCTCCTTTATTCAATCAATTTAAACTCCTAACTCCTTCAGCTGATAAGACTGAATACTTTGTTCGTAAATTCTATACAACTCAACACTCGACTCATTCGGCGTACCCACACCTGATTTGTCCACTACTGAGGCTCTATTGAGTGAGAAGAGCGTAACCCTGTCGATGGTGTTGGACACCATCTCTAAATTAGACTCTCATAAAGCAAATAGTTGTGACGGGATAGTAATCGTAGCCCTAAACAAATGTGCTCCTGAGCTGACTCCAGTTCTCTCTAAACTATATAATTATTGCTTCTCTGATTCTTGCTTTCCAGCCTTTTGGAAGTTCTTATCTGTTGTCCCTGTTTTTCAGAAACCTGGAGACCTTCTGACCCATCTAACTACTGTCCTTTCAGTTTCCTGCCACACTTCGGCAAAATCCTCGAGGCTTTAATCAATGCCGAAGTGGTTAAACACCTGACATTCCATGATCTACTCTCTGAAAAATAATATAGTTTCCGCTTTGTCCTGTCTACCACTGAATTGCTTCATAAGCTTCAGAGATACGGTATTACAGGACGATTATTTGATTTAATCCAGTCATTCCTGTCAAACCGTGAAATGAAGGTCGTCCTAAACGGGTTTTCTTCTAGTTCCTTTCATACAAACGCTGGTGTTCCCAAGGCTCTATCCTGGGTCCTACACTGTTTCTGATCTTCACCAACGATCATTCTAATGTCATCAGTTCTCAAGAAGGCATCTACGTAGACGACATTACCATTTACTCCTGTCTCAATAGTAAATCCGGCATTGCTGACAAAGTTGGTCTCGAAAAGAACTTCCAATCTGTGGTTGACTGGAGCAGGAAATGGTTTGTAAACTTTAATCTCTCCAAAATAAAACTGTTCTCATTTACCCAAAATAGAGAAACCTCTCTGCCCCTATCAGCATGGCTGACTCTCAACTCCACAGGAGCGTCTTTTTCTGCATTCTTGGTCTCACATGTTGCACTGATCTGAGCTGGAACAACTACATTGAATCAATAGCTTCATCTACTGTGTCGCGCTAGTAGTTTTTTTTTTATCATCAGAGTTCATCCTACAAATCTATAAATCTACCATTGGTCCTTGCATTAAATACTGTTGCCATCTATGGTCTAGTGCCCTCGCTGTTCAGCTTGAGGTTCTCAACAAAATCCAAAGACGGATATGCGATGTAATAGATCCTGGCCTGTCATCTCGACTCCAGTCACTTTCTCTTCCGTTTGTCTTTTCTACAAATATTTTCTGACGAGGTACTTTCGCTGGTAGCCCCACCTGCATGAATTTTAACGTGCTACTAGGTTGGCATCTCGATTCCACCCTTTCACTGTAACCGCCTTTTCTACTCCAACAGCTTCTTCTCTCGCACTTCCCGTCAGTGAAACTCCCTTCCTCTTACTCGCTTTCCTGATAGCTATAATCTTCAAATATTAGAATGTCAATCAACATCTTCTGATGTCTTGATCTTGATCCTCATTCTTCTTTTTATCCTTTCCTCAAACAACCCCACTCTTTACTTACTCTCACCGTGTGTAACCCTTTGCGTGCTAGTGCCGCTCCCGCATTGCTTGGGGTGAAATGCTTAAAAAAGGAAGATATTTCTCGTTGGTTAAAAGACACACATTAAGTATATAAATATACGATTAAAGTTATTTAGTCATTTATACTTTAAGTTTAATATAAGTTTGAATTTTGAAAGTTTATAACAATCTTTGATGTTGAAACAAAGTGTAAAATTGTAAAGAGGGAAATATATACTTGTGCATAACAGAATGATACGTCGTCAATCTAGTGGGAAAATAAGTTTAGCACTAGTTATATATATATATATGGAAGCAAATATATGGATATAAATCCGATTGTCTTTGTCATGTTGAATTGATAATGTTAATTATATTTTATGAATATGTCCTGAAGATGGTTTATTAGACCGAAACGTCCGACGTTGACATTATATTAACATTAAAACAGCATAATTGCATATAAGGATTTTTGTTTGTTTTTTCCCGTATATTTTTCTTA